CCATTCTGAGAATTTACCATTAATTCCTACCCTTGGTTCCCTGTCTTTTAACCAGTTTTCAGTCTATGAAAGGACCTTCCCTTTTATCCCATGGCAGCTTAATTTACATAAGAGCCTTTGGTGAGGGACCTTGTCAAAGGCTTTCTGGAAATCTAAGTACACTGGATCCCCCTTGTCCACATGTTTGTTGACCCCTTCAAAGAATTCTAATAGATTAGTAAGACACAATTTCCCTTTACAGAAACCATGTTGACTATTGCTCAACAGTTTATGTTTTTCTATGTGTCGGACAATTTTATTCTTAACTATTGTTTCGACTAATTTGCCCGGTATAGACGTTAGACTTACCGGTCTGTAATTGCCGGGATCACCTCTAGAGCCCTTTTTAAATATTGCCGTTACATTAGCTAACTTCCAGTCATTGGGTACATTGATTTAAAGGACAGGTTACAAACCTTAGTTAACAGTTCCGCAACTTCACATTTGAGTTCTTTCAGAACTCTTGGGTGAATGCCATCTGGTCTCGGTGACTTGTTAATTTTAAGTTTATCAATTAATTCCAAAACCTCCTCTCGTGACACTTCAATCCATGACAGTTCCTCAGATTTGTCACCTACAAAAGCCAGCTCAGGTTTGGGAATCTCCCTAACATCCTCTGCCGTGAAGACTGAAGCAAAGAATCCATTTAGTTTCTCCGCAATGACTTTATCGTCTTTAAGCGCTCCTTTTGTATCTCGATCATCAAGGGGGCCCACTGGCTGTTTAGTCAAATCTAACTACAATGAAAAACAAGAAATAGCAAGACTGGTAACCATAATGGTAGCTCATCCATCCTTTGCAATTCCAAGGACTGTGGTGAAAATAACAATTTTGCTTCCCATGACTTCCTACCAGATGCATTTTCGTTGGACTAGAGCTGGTAAAAATAGCTTAAGTTATTAGAATTCACACACAAAACTCATAAGAACAGGGAAGTGGGGTCCAAGATTGTGTAAATAGGAGCACTGCAGGGAATAAGGAGAAGTAGAAGGCTTCATTTAGTCACTTTATAGTTAGTTTAGCTTACTTAAAAAGTTTTTTGTAGAGGTAATCAGGAGACTTGAAACCATCTCTGTGTGAAGGGTCTCAGCAAGTGAATTAGAGGTAATTTTCAAGGGAAAGTTCAGAGAAAGGATGAAAAGTTTACTTTAGAGAGCCTTGCACAGATTCTATCAGAAGATCAGCTCATCTGTGCAAGACATTCAGGTTTGGGATGGAGCCTGAGCTCTGTGATTCTGTGAGGGAGAAGGGTTCACATTGCAATTTTATAGCCCCATGAGTCTGAGTCAGCTGACAGGGCCAGCCGTGGGTGTTTTATTGCTGTGTAGACATACCAGAGAGGCTAGTTTCTCTAGGCAGTGTTTACAAGGCCTACCCATGCCATAAACCAGTCTATAAAATCACACTAACAGGGCCCTGTCTACAATGGCCAGGAAAACCATTGGCCCAACCACAGTCCTATGTAGGTCAAAAGAAATTTCCCCGTTGATTACAATGGGAGCAGAAGAGACCCCATCTCAGAACTCTTCTAATATGAATGGTATTGAATTTCAGAATGCTATTGATATGTTAATACAGTTTCCCAGGCCACCTAAAGTAGGGTGTTTAATTTAACAAAGGGGTTCTGTGTGGTGTCTGAATATAATTCAGAATACCTGTTTCCACTTGTATCAGTGCTAGCTGTCAGAATAGATTGGTTTTAAAAGGTTTCATAAATGAGCTACCTCCCACTACATCCAGATAGTGTTTATTAAAAAAAAAGCAGAATTAAGCAGAAAAAAATAGCATTCATCAATACACTATTTCCAAATAGACTTGCATCCTTAAAAAAGCCATTTAGTTTCCTAGTTCAAGGGTAAGTTTATTCCCAGAAGATGAAGTAATTTAGTGAAATAATAATGTCCCCCCATAAAAAAATCCCCATAATAGAATTCAGCTTTAGGAATTGCAGAGGAAGGAAACTGTAACTTCTGTCAAAGCATAGGGATCAGATTAGCATTAATAAAGCATTCTTCATAGAGCAGAATGATAGCGTATGGCCTAATACACATCCAAATAACTCCCATTTCCACAATGTTTCCTTTCAGATATGGGATTTTCTAATTAATTGTAGGAAAGAAAACTGAAAGTGTACTTTCTTCTGCTAAATTTCTCTTGACTATTAATTCCTATGCTGAGTATTGTACCATCGGATCATTGTTAACTATTTGAGAAACTAAAGAGCTACACTTACTTTCCTTATCACAGTGTTGAGATATTTCCTCTGTGTTACCAGGAGTGTTTTGATTAGTTTTGACTGGGTCCACAGAGAAGACATAGTTGCTATTTTCCAAAGCTGACCTTATTTCTAGAATAAAGCCTCTAGTTAGCACTGCCCAATAGTCGCTCTTAGGTTTGAATTGTTAATCTCTAGTAGTTTTTTTTTAATCTCCTTTTAATGTTATGGCTATCTGAGACAAAACAATTATAAAGAATTGCTACTAGAGTCGGTCAGCTATTTTCAGTTAGTTTGATTAATTTAATGCTTATTTTTGTTTGCAAATTATCTGTGAACAGACTTTGATATTTACTCATTTGTTTGCTGTTTGTAATTACTAGGTGAATGCGTTTATGCGAACATCAGTCAGCCTATGGATTGCTTGCTGTTTGCATGGTGTAAATAGTCACCTAAATCACATGGTATTGTTTCTGCTTCTTGATTGGCTGACTCCCAGACCTGCAGTTTTAAAGATGGCCACGCAATCCCTTCTGGTGCAAATACTTCTGCAAGTAGGCTCCTGCATGTGTATTCAGGTGTGAATACCTAATCAGATGAGCATTCATAACACTTTCACTTTCTGTTGACTTTCTGTTGAATTGATCTGCCATGAATGGTTGTTCACCATACACTAGTGAAAAGGGAACATGAATGTAATCAAGGCTAATATGCAGTCTTTATTTGAACATACATTTGTGAATAGATTGGCTGCAGTATTTACCTGGTTCTAACTGTGACTATTAGGTTATTTTTTGGTACTGTGCAACATGCTCATGCGGCAAAAAACTGACAGGTCTCTCTACAGGACTTGTCTACAGACAAAGCACCCAGAAGGAAATGGTTTTTCTCCTGATTTTTATAAAGCTTTTATTATGTTGTAACAAGCTGGTGGTGTTTGCCTGAAACGCTTATCCTGTTTGTTGGTATTGGTCTTACTGGGAAAGGCTTAAGTAGCTCTGCTGGCTCAATGAAGCGGGTGGTTTGTTATTTTGTCCAATTAAAAGGGAAACAGAAGAGGCAGTAGTGAGAGGATCTAGACAGTTCTGAGGCAGGAACCCTACCAGCAGCTAAGCCTGGGGAGAAAGTTTGAGCTAAAATTTGTTGCCTAATTGTTAATAAAGCCCAAACCCCGAGGAAAGTAAAAAGATTTTGACTCTAGGCAGTGTGTAGACATTGTTTTAGAGTACTTTGGGAAAGATACCTGCTCAGAGTTGTATTTTCCTTTTTGGTGCTGATAATGTTACAATCTGAGTTGAACTGAATTGAGGAAACTTTCAGATGTACCAGATTTAAAAATCAAGTACTGGCAAAACTCCCATTGACTTAAATGAGAGCAGGATTGTGTCCTGTGTCCTTTCATCTATTGCTCTGCTCAGTTATGGTGCCAGAGATCTAACAAAAAGGACATAACATTCAGGAGCATTAATTAGGCATCAGCTCAAGCCTTTCAATAATATTATTACAACCTGTCTTTATTTTCCACATGGGTAATGGAAAAACAATGGCAAATAGGCGATCCTATTCATAGAGTCCAGAGTGAGTAGCTCTCGGTGCTAACATTTCCTAGTTTGTCAGCTTATTAGTAGGACTGTGTGTGATGGAAGAACAGAGGGCACTTCATTATGAATTTATCAACATAGAAATCCACAGACTTTCCCTTTAAGTTGATAACACCTTAAACCACAGGCAAGGATCTGTCCACTGGAATGACATGGAGGGTAGATACCACCTCAGAGGACAGTTTAACTATTCCCACGGAGATACTCCCTCCATCATGAAATAGTGGCAGCTGTCCGGGTACAGCAAAGGCAAAGTGTGCTGCACCCCTTGTCAGTATATTTAGCTATTGTTAATAGGGGATGTAGCTAGCAATTTGGAATTTGTACATACACACATTGACCGTACCTTTGCCTCCCCTACCCACAGTACCCCCCAAGTTGAATACAATAGGAATGCTTACAGTTTGGGGGCAGGTAGACAAAGACATCTAGCAGTGTATTTATGACAGGCCTGGTGCAGATTCTTTCCATTCTTCTGGCCACCGTTAGGAATAATCCCCAGGAAACTCTTAGTACAGTGGCATCGATGGCTTATATCTATACACTAATATTAGTATTTTGGGAATAATACAAAAAGGCATCTTTAAAATTTACCCAAATTACATAATCATTCATGCTTTAAATACAAATTTTCTTCAGTGGGTAGGTGAGTCCTGTGCTCATGGAAAAATTGTTTACTACCAGTTTCTAGAAATGCTACTGCAAGACATTATTAATATTATCACACTTGTTCCTGTCTGTAGTGTGTATCATAGAAATGATCTGATTCTCTTACATAGGAATTTGCCAATGTAGTACATGACTCATGCACAACCCATATCAATGAAACCAGTTTAGCAAATTGGCCACATACTAGGGGGGAGGTGTATATTGGAATAGTTCTCCTTGTCTGCCCTGAAATCTCAGGACATTATTACAAGGAGGTTTCTCCTGGCTGTAGAATGGTACACACTCACTTTCTGCTGTCGAGGGTCTTCAGATACAAGAGCTGACACTGCTACACTCCTTCTAAAAAACGCAGCTGTTTTTATGAGGGTCACACAACGCTCAGGTACGGGAACTGTTTTCACAAGATTCACACTGTGTGTGCCTACATGAATGGCAGAAGAATAAAGCTCTGCTGGCTGTCCAAGTGGAAATGAAAGATCCCGTGTGGCTCTTTGCGAGAAGAGATACTGATAACATTAGTGGTTTGGGCATGTTCTCTCGCTCTCTGTACAACAGGATTGCATGTTCATGGGTGTGTGTGTGTGTGTGTGTGTGTGTGTGTGTGTGTGTGTGTGAGAGAGAGACCTGTTACTTCTGGGTTCATAACTGCTGCTATGTTTACCTACGCAGTTACTGCACCACCAGCGTCTAACTCACTGCTCTTTGTAAAGTCTCTCGGGATATTTTAAATACGAAGGGAGAGATTCTGAGCTGTATTTCTAAGAGGTGCCACACACAATGTGCAGCCCAGGAGGCAAGGAGGTTAAACCAGATTTGCAGGCTCTTAATCCTGGGTTGCACCAGCTCCTATCATATTAAAGACAGCCCAAGGTATCTAAGTTACAGCAGCCTCCCTGGGTTGTTCCATGGGCCCAGTGTTGCCCAGGTTTTCCGCAGCACTGTGTGCTGTGTGGCCTTGCACCTGAGACATTGCTTTTGCCCCCAGTGTGCCCCCACCCCCAGTACGGGATTTACCATGGCGCCGCTTGCCGCTCTGGGGAAGAGGAGGAGAAGAGGCGGGGCCTTGGGGAAGGGGCTGGAATCGGGGCATACCCAGTGGTGAGCTGGAGCCGGTTCGCACCGGTTCATGCGAACCGGTTGTTAAATTTTGAAGCAGTTTTAGAACCGGTTGTTAACCTGTTTCCCTGCGAGGGAGCGCTGCGGCTTTGATGGGCTCTGTCCGGGAAGTGATGTAATTCCTCCTCCGGCCGCCGGGGGCGCTGTGCTGCGGGAGCCATGTGGGCACGGGCCCTGTTGCTGCTGTTGCTCCCCCGACCCCTGGCCCTGGGGCTCCCACTGCTGCCTGGTGGGTCCTCGGCTACTCTGCTGGGCCTGGGCTGCGTCCTGCTGCTCAGGCTGCTCCGAGACGCTCTCCACATGAGTACCCGCCACCCTGCCCGCAGCCAGCCCCTGTCTCCAGCCAGCCCCCAACCCCTGCCCACAGCCAGTCCCTGCCGCACCCCCTGCCCTGTCTCTAGCCAACCCCTGCCGCACCCCCCTGCCCGAAGCCAGCCAGCCCCACACTCCTCTGTCTCCAGCCCTGCTAACCCCTGCTGCACCCCCCTGCGGCCCTACTCGAAGCCAGCCAGCCCCACACCCCCTGTCTCCAGCCAGCCCCGCACCTCCCTGCCCTGCCTGCAGCCAGCCCCTACCTCCAGTTAGCCCCTGCCCTGCCTCCAGCCAGCCCCACACTCCCCATCTCCAGCCAACCCTGCACCCCCTTGCTTCCAGCCAACCCCGCACCCTCCTGTCTTCAGCCTGCTCCGCACCCCCTGCCCTGCCCGCAGCCATCCCCGTACCCCCTTGCCTGCAGCTAGCCCTGCCCCATGCCCCTGTCTGCAGCCAGCCCCACGTGCACTGGTGCCCTGCAGTTCCCAGGGCAGTAACCCTGCACACCTGCTTCAATGAGGGGGCAGGGAATAGCTGGGACCCATACATGTGCACACACTCCCAGGGAGTGGCGAGGACCCACACATGTGAAACAGAGCTCATTTCTAGTTCAGGTCCATCTTTTAAAAAAAAAACTTTAGGTAGGGTTAACATACATCCATATTTTCCCAGACATGTCAGGCTTTTTGGTTCTTAAATCGCTGAATTTAAAAATTCCTCCCGGGAAAATATGGACGTATGGTAACCCTATTGGTACAAAAAATGCATACTGTGGCACATCCCTTAAATCAAAACTTTTTATAGGGAACCGGTTGCTAAGATTTTGGCAGCTCATCACTGGGCATACACCCTTCAGCCCCCTGCCGTGAGCACTCCTACGACCCCAGCCCACACCCCAGCCCTCTGCCCACCCTGAGTCCTGCACCCCCTCACACACCCGCAGCCCCCTGCTCTGACCACTGCATTCCCCCTCACGCCCCCAGCCCCCTGCTCTGACCACTGCATTCCCCCTCACGCCCCCAGCCCCCTGCTCTGACCCCTGCACCCCCTCAAACACACCCAGCCCTGACCCCTGCACCCCCTCACACCTCCCCAGCCCCCTGCCCTGACACCTGCACCCCCTCACACCTCCCCAGCCCCCTGCCCTGACCCCTGCACCCCCTCACACCCCCAACCCCCTGCCCTGACTCCTGCATTCCCCCTCACACAGCCAACCCCCTGCCCTGACTTCTACACCCTTCTTACACACTCCCACCCCCCTGCCCTGACTCCTGCACCCCCTCACATACCCAGCTCCCCCCCACACCCCATGCCCTGACTCTTGCACCACCCCACATCCTCACCCCCATCCTGAGCACCAAACAGGAGCTGCCCCAGGTAAGTGCTCTACACCCCAACCTCCTGCCCCAACCCTGAGCCCCCTCCCTCGCCCTAGCTCCTGGCCAGACCCCAATGTTTTTTTTATAATATTTGGAAAGATCATTAAATGGTCCATCGAAACCCTCCATGATTTTCAAGTGGTCTGTGGAAAAATAAGTTAGACTACAAGAACAATCAAGGTACCTCACTTTATTTTCATTTACTTGCTATTACTTATAGGAGGAGGATGAAGAAAAAAAGAATGAAAAATGGGGACGGAGGAGATAAGAGAGAATGGTCTTTTTCTTGGCTGGGTCCCAAGGAGGAGCCCCAAAAATGAAGCTGAGCACAGGGCCTGGGGGCCCCACTAACTCTAAATCCACCACTGGCTGTCATGTCACCTGGGCTGGGGATACAGTGTCAGCTGATCCCCACAGTCTCCAACCTAGCTGGGCAGTACAGCAGACATGGCCCTGCCCACTAGCTCCTCTCCACTCCCTAGCCCACCCACCACTTGCCCCCCCCTTTAAAGCTTAGCCCTCTCACTTTTACAAATGATTGCTTGCCCCTCCCGCACCTCTCCCTCTTCCCCCCAGGCTTTTCTGGCAGCCCTGTTGCCAGGTATCCACTTTTAGACTGGAAACTCCAGTAGAAAACGGGACCTGAGTGTCCGGTTAGCAGTGCTGACTGGAAACTAAAAGTCCGGTATGCTGGAGGAATCCTCCCTTTGCCTGATACAGCACTTTCAGGGCTCCTTTATGCCCGCAGTTTTGTGTGGTTTAATGGGGCACTATGACAGGGTGCGCTCACCCCGCACCAGACGAGAAGGGGTTAACACCATATTGTGGGCTGAGGAAGCCACACCCCCACCTCCCTACTGGGCATGTTCCAGCTGTACCAGTATAAAGCAACCCAGCTCAGTCTAGAGGAGATGCTGGTGGGGAAGGATGTGTGCCAGGACCTCCTGATGAGGACGGTCTCCAGCCTGTGCCAGAGGGGAGCAGAGATGTGGACCACAGCCTCAGACCCCAGCAGCCCATGGAGCCCCAGGGAGCGGCCAGTGCTGGGGAACTAAGAGATCCCAATGCCTCCTGGACTACAATGACCGAGACTACAGTAAGTAGTGACCCAGGGATGGTGTCGGAGTGGTATCTCCCAGGTAAGCTCAGCATATTTTGATGGGACTCCCCACTGAGCTGGTAGCTGGTCGTATCACCGCTACTAGGGCCCTGGGTTGGGGCCAGGTGGAGTCGGGTGGACCCGGGCCCCCCTCTGGCCTGTGACCCCATAGACTCTGGCCATTGGGCCACACTGACAGTAGGGGCAAGTTTCATAGACTCCGGCCACTAGGCCGTACTACCCTGAACGAGCGGGGCATTTTGCATAGACTCTGGCCATTGGGCCACTCTAACCCATAGCTAAACCCAGACATGCAGACTTGAGCTGAGGGAGATAGGCACGTAAGGCTCGTGTGCCAGCCCCTATTCCCCGAGAAAGGCAGGCGCACTCGCCCCGTACAGGACGGGGCCCACCTTAACCGTGTCACAGGCACCATAAAGTTTCATAGCTGGATATGACTTAAAGTTGACTTCCTTTCAGTGGGACTTAAGCTCATATTTCAAATTAACTGTGCGCTTAAAGGCTTTGCAGAACTAGGCTTAAATCTCTCCATCTATGCTGGCAAAAATGAGACCTTTGCTTCACCACCAGTATCCACCAAGTCAGCTCAATATGGGGTGGTAATGATGAAAGATGCGGTGTAGACACTGCTCAGGTCTATTTACCACTGTGCCATCCAACCCTGCTCTGAACTTCCATCAGTTCTACCATCCTACCTACACTACAGCAATTCACCAAGTAGCACCAGGAATAGGGGAGCACAAATGTGAGCCCGAACCTAGCTTTGCTTCTTTCAATTTACTCCCCATGCACATCAGCCATACCCTAGGCTCTGGCCCACAGTGACTCCCTTCTGGACCAAACTCCATATGCAGAAACGATTGAATGGGAGCTGTATATTCATCCAAGGATGGAATTTTGTCTTTTGTATTTAGGCTACTATATGGTCCCTTGATTGGGATGGGAATTTGTACACGAATCAGGTCAGCGGCCGACATACCTGAAAATGGATTAATCACTTGTCTGCTCCTGTATTTTTCCTATAATTTTGGCTGTGTATGGCAGCTGCTTTTTACAAATAGTGTGAGTCATCTGTGTGGAAACCACCAACCTGATGGAGATATGCTTTAGGGGAATTAGGCAAATTAGGAGAGGAAAAAATACCTTACTTTAAAACAATGGATTTCAACCTCAATATTGCAGATCTCAGAATGTGCACCCTCTTGTTTTCATCAGTGATCCTAACTGGCTGTAGAAAGAACTGTAGACTCCCTATATGCCATCCACAGCACTGTATTCTGTGTCTTCTCTGGTGAATAGGGCCAGGAAAGCTATGAGTTAGACTACTGAGAGAAGTTCTTTGAAGGACAAGTAGGCAGAAATGAAGCTCAATAATTGAAATCAAGAAAACGATGAGAGACTTTGTCTGTCCTCACTGGAGTATGGAAAGAAGTTTAGAGAAGAGCTGAGAATTTGAAAGGGGTTAAGGTCCCCAGAGTAGTGAAAGATACAG